TTCTATACATCTTTTTCAGAATTTCGTAGAATTCTGTTTTTTCTTTTCATATACAGCACAATTTTATATATTTACCGCACTTTCTTAATTATATATATATATATATAAAGGAGCTTGACGCCAACGTGAAGAAAATCCTCGATCTCATGGAGAAACGTGATCTCTGTTATAACGAACGCTTTGCGCAGCTGGAGTTGGCGCTCAATGACGTTTCAAGCAGCAACCTGGTGGTTCGAACTCACAAACCAACCTGTCGTTTCAGGTACGGAATATTAAGCTTGATTTTCCTAAATTTGACGGAACCAATGTTCTGCAATGGATCTTCAAGGCTGAACAATTTTTTGGATATTACTCCACTCCTGAGCTCCAACGCCTTACTATTGTTGCGATCCATTTGGAGAAGGATGTTGTACCTTGGTTTCAGATGATGCAAAAGAACAACCCCTTCCAATCCTGGGAAGGTTTTACTAAGGCATTAGAACTCGAATTCGGTCCTTCTCCTTATGAATGCCCACGATCTGCTCTGTTTAAACTCTCACAATTGGGCTCTGTCCATGATTATTATGTCGAGTTCACTGCTTTGGCTAATCGTGTTACGGGGCTTACCGTCGATGCCATATTGGATTGCTTTTTGAGTGGCCTTAAACTTGAAATTAGACGAGAGGTGTTAGCTCAATCACCAAACTCTGTCCTTAAAGCTATGTCCTTAGCCAAACTTTTTGAAGAGAAATACACTCCTAACCCGAAACCTTACTTTTCATCTAGCTATCCCAAAACCTCAACCACAAAACCACAGAACAGCCCACAATCCAAAACAAATGCCTTACCACCCCTGTTACCTACCCCAAACTTGAAACCATTTACCCAACCTTTCAAACCATCCAATGTCAAAAACATCACCCCTGCTGAAATGCAAATCCGTAGAGAGAAAGGGTTGTGCTATACATGTGATGACAAATTCACCCCAAACCATAGATGTCCTAATAAACAGTACCTATTACTACAATATGAGGAGACCGAGGAACCCCCCGATAAACCCAACCCATCTGAACACCTTACTCACCCCAACCCTGACCCCATTTTGGACCATCATCTCTCTTTCAACGCCCTTAAAGGCTCTAATGGAGTGGGTACAATGCGATTCCAAGGCTCTATTCAAGGTGTCTCCATTCAGATTTTGTTAGACAGTGGCAGTTATGATAATTTTCTGCAACCTCAACTTGCAAATTACTTGAAATTACCGGTTGAACCCATTTCTAGTTTTCAAGTTATGGTGGGCAATGGAAATTCTTTGACGGTTGAAGGACTGATACAAGAACTCAAGGTTTCAGTACAGGGTCATACACTCACTCTCCCGGTGTATTTATTACCAGTTTCTGGCGCAGATTTGGTGTTGGGCGCATCATGGCTGGCTACTTTGGGCCCCCATATTTCTGATTATAGTGGAAGGATACGTGCTAAATCAGGGTGTAAGTCAGCAGGTAAGTCAACCCATTGATCCTGTGGCACTTCAGGAAGTTGAAGCTGTAATGTATAACATTCCGCAATAGCATGTGTGTGAGACATTCTTCGAGCTTCCCTGAAGTGAAAAAAATGTCACGTGTCACCGGTGTCGTTATGGGCTATAGCGACACCGTTATAAACAGCCCCAAAGGCGTAAATAAATTTAAAACAACCCCATTTACGTAAATAACTTGGTCAACGACCCCACTTTGGTCAAAAAGCCAGAATCACAACTATTACTAATACTGAATGTTTTCATTTTCCTGCATAACATCAACACCCCTTATGTGTCATTGACATGGATTCCTCTAAGAATGTTTATAATTGATGCTTAATTGAAGACAAAAACAGTGAAAGGGTTGGTTAGTGGTTATTCCAAACCTGATGGTGCTGAATGGTGGAGTTGAGCCAGTGTATTAGGTAGCTGTGGCAATGTCTCCCAAGTGAGTGGATGGTGAAATGGGATATTATTCAAGTCTAACACCACAACTGGGGTAAATAACTCTTCCTCCAGCTTTTCCTCTGCCACAGGAGGCTGGAATTTTGCCATTTTGGCTATGGCATCACTGAGACACCATCGACAGTTTTCCGATGAAAGGTAAGGGATGCACATTCCATTGTATATAGTGTTTGGTTAGTTGTGATGTTCACTGACTTGTAGCCATACTTGATGGAGCCAATAAAAGGAGCATTAGCTGTTCGATTTCTGACATTGTTCATAGTATCCCAGAGTATGCTGTAGAAGTTGCCTACCTGTCGCATATAGTCCTGCTCATTCATGAAGCTACATTTAGGACTCTTTTCTACAATGGTGAAGAAATAACTATTAGAGTAACGCATGAAGCAGTTATCAGCCCAAAGAATGGCTCCTTTTACCAATGGACACAGTTTTGTTATCAACATGGTTTTGTTTATCACGCACTCCTTACAGTCTGGTTTCCCATCTCTAATTCTGCTCATGAAGAGGCCATAGATTGTGTGGGAGGAAGTGTTGCCTTCTTCAATGGTGGTGTTGTAGAATTTGGCAGTGGTTGTGGCGTTGAAGGAAAGCCATGAGAAAAGAGTTTGAAGGTTGATATGATAGGTGTTATTGGGTGAGTAAGTGCTCTTGTTTGAACAGATATAGTAAGGTGGTGGCGGGTAAGATACGTTTGTAGCAGCTTTGGTATGGTTGAGGAATGTGAGGTATAAGAGAATTGGGATTAACAGTGCTGAAGAGCTGCATGAATTCATGTTTTGTTTTCTGGAATTGTGAAAGAAAATAGAACAATGAAGCAGATCAACAAAGCTGTTTCCTATATTTCAATGTGTGACTCATGAGAAGCTAGTCTTTTAACCTACCCTACTACTAATTGATACTGCACAGTATACTCCAGAAATTCTATTTGTATAACACTGCAAGCATATTTCCATGTTCATGACGTGTCATCAAGAAAATGCATGCAAGAATAATGTTAACTCTACTTAGAATGAATCATTAATTTATTAAAGAGAATTTCTAGGGTACTTTCAAATTATTGAGGGGCTTTGGTATTGTAAATGATGTGTTGTTGATGTGTATTTATGTGTTTATTTAAAATTCACATTAGTTTTAAATTTTTATTTATTTAAAATCAACTATAACTGATGTTCACGTCTTTTTATTTTTTTCTCGTATCTTTCTCGCTTCCTGGTTTTTCTCTTCGCCCCGCTTCTTGGTTTTTTTCCTTTTTTTTTCTGTTATCTCTCTCACATTGGATTCAATTCCGGGAGTTCAAGATTTTTATTTTCCAGGTTTCCCTCTATCTCTTATGGGTTTGATGAGCCATTTTCTTGTTTTTAACTTTTCTTTATGTAGTATTCATGGATGGTGTTTGATGCTACTGTGAACGATTTTGCATGTATAAATCACTTTTTAATTTGTAATTTTTTGAATTTTATTTATTTCATCATATCCGCACTTGTTTTTGAGGATTTTTGTGATTTTGAAAACGAGGCATTAGGGTTAATAAACTTACGATCTTCATGTAAGCAGTCAACTTTTTTTTCCATTGTCTAAATTCCCTTCTCCGATCTATTTCTGTCGACTGCTCTCGCATGTTTTTCTATTTTCTTTTACTTAATTGCAGTTTGTTTCCGATTTTTGATGCATTATTTTTAATTCAATTTTTTGTAATTGATTCTGATCTGTCCCTGGGTTCTGTGAGAGTCTTGATGTTGCTTGTGGATAAAAAATGAAGATGCTTGATTTGTGATGTCTTTTATTGTTCCCTGTGTAAGACTATGAAGCTGAGCAAGTGTTGGAGGGTGTGCTTATTGGAGATATTGTTATCTTGTGGAAAATAAAATTATAAGTGTGCAAAGTAAATTATTTACAAAAAAAAAAAGGGACTATTTTTTTCCTCTCATTCTCTTAACAAAATAGAATGTTTAATTAAATATTCTCTTCTCACCTCTTTTCAACCAAACAATCCTTAAATAATTATTGAAATATTGGTTTAGGTTAAATAATTATTGATAAAAAAATGACTAAATCGAACAAAATTATAATTAAAAATTTCTTAGAGGATATTTTGAGAATAAAATAAGTTATTTCAGTCATTCAATAGAAAAAATAGTGGCAAATATTACATGCTTGTTGTAATTTTTGCATAGGAACATCTAAAAACTAAAATGCAAGTTGTAATTAGAGAGTGAATGTTCAGTCATTATTAACCCATTTTAGAGGTTTTTTTTTTTCATTTTTTATTAATGGAGGTTTTTTATTTCCTTTGTGCCAGCTGTGGAGAGTGTAACTGTGTAAGCATACCGAGTATTGGACAATTAGTTGAAATCAGCTATTAGCTGAAAAAAATTAATGGAAATGGCAAAATGGCCAAGCTCAATTCCGTATACGAATTATATATCATACTTGCATTACACAGATATCTCAGATGAAAAAAGACGTGTATTGTTAGAGTTCATTAATTTTATTTTTTTTTACTTTAGATGTCGAATAGCGCCAAATATCCATAGATTCTTTTCTTTTTTTATTTTTCTATGCTTCACTTTACTTTCGAAGTGTCCGTCTTACACATAGAATCCCTCCCCTCCCCAAAGATAAAGGGAAAAAGAAGTTCCAGTCTTACATAGTTACATGGACCATTTGCTCGATGTAGTTAAATTTGTAAACTCTTTTAGGATTTTACCATTTAAATTTGAAACATTTATGCATGTATGCTTCAAAGCTTTAACTTGAAGGTTCATGTTAAAGTAAAAAATAGAAATTGGATGTAAAAATTACCGGTATCATGCTGTTATTTTGGCTGCATTATTATGCGGTTGTTCGTATAAACTAACATTATTTTATTGATTTCCATGTTATAATTTGAAATGAATAGGAGGTATTTATTTACGTAAAGTGCAAGATGTTCTTGGTATATCATGCCACGAGCATGGAACTAAATTCAAAATCAAATTCCTGTGTATTGGGAATGTACGTTATTTAGTGAGACAAATTTTCATGAAACACTATTTAAGCTTTGAAATACATACATGCCATATAATGAACTCTAACAACACACGTCTTTTTTCACCATCTTAATAAATCCCAACATAGATGTGAGAAAATTATGAATATTACACAACATAACAGAGTAATCACAAATCTAAAACAGCAATGAATTAAAAAAAAAAAAAAAAAAAGAGATGATGAAAAGTGGCTGAGAAAACGAAACATAATAAAGTTAATCAATGAATTACAAAATAAATTAGTGAAAATATGTATATAGCATAATTAATCTCAAGAGAAATAAACGGGGCATCTCTTGTCCTTGAAATTAGTCAAGAGGGAACCATCGGGTCCCACGCCCACATCACAGTTGGCGTGCATCGTGTGGCGCTTGCTGTCCCACGTGGATATCTTGAATCTGATCACAGACGTCAATTCCAAGCGGAACACCACGCTACCGTCAGTCCTATCACTCTCGAACTCCGACCAACGCTGACTACTAACGGTCAACGTGGCTCCACTAAGGTCACCGTCCACCTCCGTCGTGTTCTTAGGCTGTTGGTAAAACGGATAAAGTAACGGCGACGTCCCGATTTTCTGGTCGCGGTAATAAACTGCCACGCCCATGGACTCATAGTAAACCCCGATGTTTTGGTTGGAGTTTCGGGCGCTTACGTGGAAGGTTATAACCGCGTTTTGGAACCCAGATTCTTGGGTCAGGCCTGGCAAGTTGAACTCGTGGATATGGAACCTGGGCCTGTGGGGCCGGAGGCTCAGCCATAGGATGAAGGTGATTAGGCCCACGATGGCCAGGAGGCCCAAAAAGGTGGCGCAGATTATTTTGGAGACCCGGGTTGTGAGGCTTTCATGGACCCGATGGACGTAATACCGTACCGTGTGGTGCCGTTTCAGTTGCTGTGGTTTGGGGTTCGGACCCGTGACGTGGTGAACGGGTATGTGGTCGTTGTTGCGCATTTTGGTTTTAGCGATGTGGGAGATGATGCGTTTGAGAAACGAACTACGTTTGTGTATGCGGTTTTGTAGTGAAGTTCCAGAGAGGGGAGAAAAAGTAAAGAACAGATTTTGAGTTTGGTACATGGACGAAGAAAAGAATAAGACCTTTGTCTCTTGCGTTGCATGTCCTCGTAACTAAGAAAAGAAAACTTTTTTTTTGTGCCTTTGTTATAGCTTTTGCCTTTTGCATGTACGTTTGGGAATTATGGCTTACACTTGTTAATAATGTAAAACTAACGTTTACCATCAAAAGACTAAGGTGGGAATTTTCGTATGACCTTAATTATTTTCTTTTTAACTTTTCATAGATGATTATGTATTTGTAAAATTATCACTTTCATGCGAACTTACTTCCCCTTAATCAAGATCCAAAGCTTTTATCCTTTACATCTTCTGTCGTCGGTTGGAATAAGACCCCACTCAGTTATATAGTCTCTGTTTATTAAATCTAAGCAAGTTTTAATCTTGTTATCCAAAAACAGAGACCAGCGGCTTTATCTATAGACAAGGGTTAAAGAAGTAATAATAAGATTCTTTATCATGATCATGCATGTTATTATAGAAAAAGGATACAATTAAAAAATGGTGAATAATTATTCATAATGGAATAAGGTATAAAGGTTTCGTATAATGTTGCATAAGGTATCTATACGAATTCTAGGCGAGGAGATGAAGGCATATATGTATTAATGTGGAGGGTTGTGACCCATGTATACTGATATAAATATGTTATAAGTTAGGCTTTCATATTTATATATTCTCCAATTTTATGTTTATATCATTGCCTAACTCTCAAGTCATCAATATTAGACACTAATTAAACATCAAATAACTTTGACATCTAGAGATATATATTTCCTTGTAATTATAATTCATCTAAATAATCAGTGAAGACAAAAAATTTAGAAGGCATGACCGCATGATACGATTTAGCTAGAAAATACCTGATACTGGAAAAGGGAATAAGATGGAATTATAAGGATACGTTACAAGATGTCCAGTTATACTGTTATAATCAAACAGTTACAGATTCATTAATTAATAACACAAAGATTAAATTGAATTATAAAGATATCATTAATTAATATTAGACGTGGGTGTGTGTATATATATATTATATAACAATAATTTACAATAAATGTCCTCCAAAAAAAAATATCATAAATAAATATTTTTAAATATGTAAATTATATTATAATTGAACACATTAAAGATTTAGAAAAAAGCATATGTGATGATGCTATTGGGCCAATGCTGTCGGGCCGAACAAGATAAAAGGGGCAGGCCCTTGGGCAGACTGGTAAGTGTAATTAGTAACAGAGCAATGAAATTGGACTTAACCTCATTTTGTGCATGAAGAAGTAAGCTAGAGACTTTATCAACTGAGCCATAGATTGATTTTGAACAAGACTAGAAAATAAGCGAAGGGACGATGGTGGATTAATTGAATGTGACTTGATAAAAATTACCGCAAGGAGAGGGGGAATGGCGTAGTCACTTGTGATAGAAAGCATACCATAAGTGAATACAACAAATGCTTGCAATCAAATGCTCATGTTAGGTGATGGGATTATGATAAAGACATTAAAAGAAGGAATCAGATCTTGCGTAAAGAATTGGATGGCTCAACAAGTGTAGAGAGACAAGTATCTCAGATGCATGAAATTGGTTAATTAATCGCTAGGCTTATCATATAATGGAAATTAAATGAGGAGGAAGCTATACACGTTGAAGAAGCGGCTGCAGCAGCAATGGTGTAGTTGCATAGTGGCTAATCTAAGGGGTTTGGGAAAGAGCAATTTTTTCTTCGCAAAGACTAAATGTATCTTTTAGACAATCATCTCCGAACTAGGTATACCATTATTAATGAGAAAACTTTTCTTACAAGTATTTTAACATAATTATTATATATATATCATAACAATCTAGTTTGCCTGAAAATGTAATATATTACTGTGGAAGCAATGAACAAAGTAGAAAGTAAATGTATATATAATGGTGATTGGTCTAAAAAATTTTAACATGTTATTAGTTTCTTGTATAGTTTTTGGAAATGTGATCTCCTATTTACTATCTTAAACATTAAAACTATTTAGAAGAAAAACTTTAAAAAAAAAATTAAGGAGCCTAGTTTTTATAAAAGAAAGACAATAATTACTTTAAAGAATCTAATTGAACCAATTTTTAAACAAAGTTGTATTTCTTAACCGTAATTTCATCTCTAATTCCGAACTAATCGATATGGAAGAATGAAACAAAATTCTTAGTTTAAAATAATATTTAAGTTAAAATTGTCAAATAATGTAGACTTTATTTTTTAAATACTTATTTTGAATTTTAAATTTAAAAGTATTTTTTAATAATAGTTTAGTGAAACATAAAAGTCTATTTTTCTATGCCTAATGTTTTTAAAAGATGCCTAAAAAACTTTTATTGTAATCAAGTTGACATCAAGCTTTTTAATTTAAAAAATATTTCAAAAATTAATTTATTTTTAATATAATATTTTTAAAACATTTTTTTTATTAAAAATATTGTGCTTTTGTTTCTTAAATTAAAAATTTACTAATATTTTAACATTAAATTTAAAAGGTTAAATATTTATTATACATAACTAAATTTATAATAAATTATATATAAAAATAAATAATATATTTGAATATATAAATTATATTAAAAAAAATTGTATATGAAACAAAAATATATTTGTCGTAAGTAAAAAATCTAAAATTCCTTTAGTTTAACATATAAATTATATTTAAATTTTAAAATAAATAATTTATATTATAACATATGTTTATTTTTAATTATTAAACTTATAATAAATTATTAAAATTTAATTTATAAATAAATTTTGAATTATATAAAAAAATTATAAAAATTCTCTCATACAAAATAATCATTCGTATTTAATATATAAGTATGAATTAGTTTTAAAATATTAAAATTTAATTTATAATAAACATGATGAATAAAAAGCTAAAATAGATAAGTTAAACAAAATCTATCAAAATGCTCTCATTAAATATAATTATTTATATTTAATTTATCTTTTATAATAAGTGGGAGAAGAAAATAAGAGAAAAATAAACCGGATAAGAAAAACTAAAAAATCAAAACAACTTATATGTAATTAAATTTGAGTCATTAAATATATCTAATGATTATTAATATTGCTAGAAAGAGACTAGAAAAAGAATATTACAAAAGAGGATCCAAATTTCTTTTATATAGTGTAAATCCTAGCGAGAGGGTCGGGATTTTTTCTTCTTCTTTTCTTTTTTCCTCTCTTGTAACGAAGCTCCATTGTTTGTTGCTCCAAAATCAACAGCTTTACCCGCTCGATCCAAAGTCTGGACCACCAATACTTGTGTATACAACACAATTTAAGTCATAAATATATTAACAATAGTAGCATTCAGGCCTTGTACCATTAATTTAATATCAATTAAATTGAGATAATTGGGTGTGCATGAGCATCTCTAAATAACAAATATATGCCAACCTTAATATGATTTGTAGCATGGTATGAACCATTCTTTTCTACCTCTACTTTAGTTATTATATAATACAATATGCAAACATTCATGATGCTAGTTATTAATGTGTTGAATAGCTGAGAAAGATATATATTTCCACTTCTCATCTAAATTTTATTATGTCCAATACATTTTTATTTTTTCACTTAATTAAACACCACCAAAGAACTTAGAAGGTACACGAGACAACCATGTGTCTAAAGGAGAAGGAGGATGGAGAATAAAATCCCCAGTTATGTTTGTAATATTCTATGGTGCTGTGAAAAGTATGATTATCATTGCATAAGGGCGAAACCATTTTAGTTTCTACACTTTTGTTGGTAAGTGCAATATACCATGGGTACGTACGTATACATACAAAACATTCCTTTCAATCCAGTACTGAATGCTTGTCATTAAGCATATATGCAAAATGACCACATGCTATATTTTCTCTTTCAGAATGTATTGGAAAGTTTGTCACATTTAGAGACTACTTGTCCTATATTTTGAACGCTTTCAGTCCTTCTGGGGTTCAGTTTTAACACTCCCCAACATTGATTAAGAATAGACAACGAGTGGTTGGCTCGAACTTGTATGGAGAATCTTGTTTTTTTTCTTCTTTCCGGGTAAACTCTTAGGTCAATTTGAAATGTGATTTTTTTTTGTAGATTCCAACATATATTTCGATATTAAAATGTTGTTAAAATGCCCTCTCGAGGCCACACATTGAAGAGAGAGAATTTCATTTTGCTCTCGATTAATAATTTCTCTACATTCTTTGCATCTACTGTTTTATTAGTTTGTTTGAATCAATTTATTTCTATTAGTTTTTTTTTTCTCTAAAAAATAATTTTTAATTATCAGAAAAACTAATCTTAATTTATTAAAAAAAACTTCTTTAGTTTTTTTATTTTCTTTTTTCATAAGTGCTTAAAAAAATTCATCTAATTAAATAACCTTTTATATATAGCTAATGTTGACGGATAGAATATTATGGTCAAACAAAATATACACAAATATTTTAAGATGAAGTTTGTTTCATGTTATGATAATAATTTTATATGTTTGGATTGACTTTTATATTATTGAAATATTTTAGAATTTTGAAATAATTAAAATAAAATAAGGGTTGAAATAAAAGTTATAATGATATTAAAAAAATAATAAATTTTAACGCTTTCTTATAAATCAAACTTTCTCATCCCTTATCAAAAGAATAAAAATAATGCAAATTATAGTGTAACTATCTTATTAAGAATGATCAGAAAATATTTTTTATTAAGATTTATATGAAACATGATAATATTACATTTCTAAACTCAGATTTTTGAAAATATATTTTAAATTTGTAAAACAACGCATCTAAGATTTTAGCTACCTTAGTTAGCTCCCGTAGCATGACATACACAGGTCTGATCTATTCTCTAATATTATATAGAATACATCTCAATCCTTTTTTTGTTTTGGTGTAAATAATGATTTCGTTTGTAAGCAAATGTCCTGTTGTCATTTATGAAAATTTGGCTCACACGTACTTTTTGATTACTTACAAATTAACACGGGTTAT